GGATTTGGGGTGGCTTTATAATAATGTCATAAATAATATAAGTTTATAATCAATTACCAAGCTGTAGAATGAGAAAATAAATATAATGGCTACATATAATGAAACAGAACTGGTGAATTATCATTAATTTTGACAGTCTACCAACAATGGTAAACACTATTGAGTCTATAAAACTCATTGTCTGATATGCAGAAAGATTGATTTTCCAAAATTTGTCCAAATATTAAATGTAGAATGGAACTTTTCCTATAGTTACTTACGAAATAAATAATAAGAAGCATAATTAACATGTTTTAATAACTTTTATTGACAAGTTGGGAACATGTTTAATAAAGCAATTTATTATAGAAAATTCAAAACAGCATTACAAATAACAGAAACCCAGGAACCTTTAATTAAAATGTAAGTTGACAAAATAATTTTAACCAAGATTAAATTATTAGTGATTCAATATTATACAAGAATATAGTTAGACTTATAGATAAGTGGATATGGAGCCTCTATGAAAATAATTTCAATGAGCCAATATTTGTCAGTTGTGGTATGATACCAAAAAAAAGTCTTATTTAGTGAATGTTAAAACATTGTGGAAAGAAATTAAAGACATAAATAAATGGAAACATCACTATAAATCATCAACGACAACAAAACCAACAAATAACCCAATTTTAAAAGTTGGCAAAGGACTGAAATAGACATTTCTTCACAGACGATATACAAAAAAATCTATTATCAAGAAAAGGATAGAAAGAAAAGAAAAAGAAAATAAATGTTGACAAGTATGTGGAGAAATTGGAACTCTTATGCACTATTCATGGGGAAGCAAAATGGTGATAGCCATTATGAAAAACAGTATGAAGATTCCTCAAAAAACTAAACACAGAGTCACCATATGATCTAGAAATTCCCCTTCCAGGTACACTCGAAAGCATTAAAAGTGGGGTCTTGAAGTGATATTTGTATTCCCATGTTCATAGCCACATTATTGATGATAGTCAAAAGATGGAGTCACCCCAAATGTCCAGCAACAGATAAATGGATAAACAAAGTGCATTATATACACACAATAGAATATTAATCAGCATTTTAAAAAAATAAGTTCTTATTCATTCTAGAGAATGGATGAAACTTGAAACATTGTGTTTAATGAAGTTAGCCAGACACAAAAAAACAAACGTTGCATGATTCCACCTATATAAAGTACCTAGAATAGTAAAACTCATAGAGACAGAAAGTTGAATAATAAATAGCAGAGACTAAAGGGAAGGGAGAATGGGGAGGTACAAAGTTACAGTACAAAGTTACTTTGTACCCTTAATGGGTACAAAGTTTCAGTTTGGCAAGATGAAGAGAGTTCTGGAGATGAATGGTAGTGGTGGGTACACAAGAAGTAGTAACAATTAACTGTGTACATTATAATTGTTAAAAGTAAATTTATTACATATACTTTACCATAAAAAAATAAAATCAACATGTGAACAATTAGTACTTGAACCTTTCTTCGCAATGGAAAAAATAAAGGACAGATACCAACAAGTGCTGGAAAACATGATGATGAAAATATGACCAAAAATTCTAAAAAAGAATATAATATTACTACAAAATATGTAATTTTCTTCAAAATGTTAGTTTTGCTGCACTTCTCAATATGTGAAGATTAGATTCACTGAGATGTGAGGTACTGTAATGCACATTGTTGAACTTTAGGCATCAAGTTATTTGCAGTAGATTAAAAAAGTATTTTTTTGTATTTCAAATATATGTGAATAATTTTAAATTGTATTCTTCCCCATTAGCAAGATTTTTCTTTTAATTTCTTCAATTAGTGACAGAATTATCTATTTTGCCTTTAAGGCTACATGATTTTACACAGCTTAGACATATAGATCTCATTATCTCACATTTTTATTTCTGAATGTTCCATAATTTCATATGCCACATGTGATACTTTTCATATAATATTTTAGACTACCTCATAAAATGCTGATGATTAACTGAAGTACATTTAAAGAAGGAAGACTTGCTGAGAATAATAAAAGGACAGATCACTCATTGAAGCTTGTCCTTTTTAATATACTTTTCCTCCAACAGTATTGATTCTAATTGTTTTTTAAAAGCCTTTGTATCTTTGCTTCAGTAACTTTTCCAGTTACTGACCAAGTCATTCCCTCAGATCCATCCAAGGCCCCATCCTACAAAAGCTATAATCAATCTGATTTAAAAAAAAGAGCCCTGGACCAGATGAATTTACAGCCAAACTCTACCAGACCTACAAAGAAGAGCTGGTACCCACAGAAATTATTGCACAACATTGAAGGAGGGAATCCTCCCCAAATCATTCTACAAAGCCAATATCACTTTGATAACAGCCAGGAAAGAAAACAACAAAAAAAGAAAATTACAGACCAATATCCCTTATGAATATAGATGCAAATATCCTCAAAAAGATACTAGCAAATTGAATTCAAGAGCACATCAAAAAAAAAATATATATATATATCCACCATGACTGAGTGGGTTTTATCCCAGGGATGCAAGGATGGTTCAACATACAGAAATCAATAAATGTGATTCACCACCTAAACAGAAGCAAAAACAAAGATCATATGATCATCTCAATAAATGCTGAAAAAGCATTCTGCAAAATCCAGCACCCTTTCATAATAAACACCCTCAACAAACTAGGAATAGAAGGAACATATTCCAACATTATAAAAGCCATATATGACAAACGCACAGCCAACATCATAATGAATGGGGAAAAGTTGAAAGGCTTTCCCTTAAGAACTGGAATAAGATAAGGGTTCTCACTGTCAACGCTTATATTCAACAGTACTGGAATTCCTAGCTGCAGCAATTACAATTAGGCAAAAGAAAGAAATAAAGGATATCTAAATCAGGAAAGAGGAGGTCAAACTATCACTTTTTGATGATGATATGATCCCAAAGACTTCACCAAGAGACTCCTGGATTTGGTAAATAAATTCAGCAAAGTCTCCTGGTCTCCAAGAGACTCCTGGATTTGGTAAATAAATTCAGCAAAGTCTCAGGTTACAAAATCAATGTATATAAATCAGTATCATTTCTATATGCCAATAACAGTCAAACTGAGAGTCAAAGCAAATACTCAATATCATCCATAATAGACAAAGAAAATAAAATACCTGGAAATAAACTTAACCAATGAGGTGAATTATCTCTATAAGAAAACAATGAAACACTGAGAAAATAAACCACAGATGACACAAACAAATGGAAAAGCATATCATGCTCTTGGATTGGTAGAATCATCATTGTCAGAATGTTAATACTGCCCAAGAAGTGATTTACAAATTCAACACAATCCCCATCAAAACGCCAGTGTCATATCTCACAGATACAGAAAATATAATTCTATGCTTCATAAGAAAGAGACCAAATACTCAAAGCAATCTTAAGCAAAAAGAACAAATCTGGAGGTATCACATTACCAGACTTCAAACTATAGTACAAGGGTATAGCAACCAAAACAGCATGGCATTGGTATAAAAGTGGAGACTTAGACCAATCCAGAACAGAGAACCCAGATATAAAACCATCTACCTACAACCAGTTGATCTTCTACTAGCAGACAACAACACATGCTGGAGAAAAGAAGCCCTATTCAATAAATAGTGCTGGAAAAATTGGATAGCCACATGCAGAAGAATGAAACAGGACTCCTATCTCTCACCACTTGCAGAAATTAATACAAGATGGGTGAAATATTTAAATGTAAGGCACAAAAGACTAAAAATTTTAGAACAAAGTGTAGGAAAAATTCCTCTAGATATCAGCCTAGAAAAGAATATGACTAAAATCCCAACAGCAATTACAACAACAGAAAGACATAAATGAGACTTGATCAAATTAAAAAGTTTCTGCAGAGCCAAGGAAACAATCATTACAGCGAACAGACAACCTACAGAATGGGAGAAAATATTTGCATGCTACACGTCCAAAAAAGGGCTGAGAATTAGAATCTATAAAGAACTCAAGCAAATCAGCAAGAGAAAAACAAACAACCCCATTAAAAAGTGGGCAAAATACATGAATAAAGCTTTTCAAAAGAGGATAGACTAATAGCCAATAAATATATGAAAAAAATGCTCAATGTCTCTAATCATCAGGGATATGCAAACTAAAACCACAATGACATATCACCTAACCCCAGTGAAAAGGGCTTTTATCAAAGAGTCCCAGAACAACAGTTGCTGGTGTGGAAGTGTAGAGAACGGAACACTCATACACTGTTAGTGGGACTGCCTTTATGGAAAGTAGTATGGAGATACTTCAAAGAACTAAAAGTAGACCTACCATTTCATCCAACAATCCCACTACTGGGTATTTACCCAAAGAAAAAAAATCATTTTATCAAAAAGACACTTGCACTAGAATGTTTATTGCAGCACGATTCACAATCTCAAAGATGTGGAATCAATGAGAATGGCCATCGATTCACGAGTGGATTAATAAAATGTGGTATAGATATACCATGGAGTACTACTCAGCCATAAGAAAGGAATTAATACCATTTGCAACAATCTGGGTGGAACTGCAGATCATTCTTCTACGTGAAATATCACAAGAATGGATAAACAAACACCACATGTACTCAATGTTAAATTGGAACTCATCGATCAGCACTCATTTGCACAGATGGAAATAAAACCCAATGGAAATCAAGCAGGTGGAAGGGTGGAGGAGAGGATGGGTGAAATCATACCTAATGCATACAATGTACACTATCTGGGTGACGAGTACAGTTATAATTTTGACTCAAGCAGTACAAAAGCAATCCATATAACCAAAACATTTATACCCCTTTAATATTCTGAAATAAAAAAAATTCTGCAAGAATATAGACAATTGGGATGTAGGATCAACTTGAACTAATTTACATATGTAGAACCTTAACTATGCAGCTGCAGAATTTCCTTCTTTTAAAGTACTTAGGAACATCTATAAAAATCAGCTACATACTGGCCTTTTAAAGAAACCCTCAACAAGTTCAAAGTATATGCCTGCAACCATAATAAAATAAACAGATATCATTTTAAAAAGACAGCAGAGAGACCTCGGCTCTTTGGTAATTAAAAAATAACACTCCACATTTCAATAGGTCAAAAGAGAAGCTTTCCTTATTTGCATTTGTTTCAAACAAAATATTAATGCTTTGTATATTATATAATATTTAAATTAGTTTTCGCAAAAATGTAAATAATGAATTAAAAGCATTGGGTCTTCCCTTAAAATATTTTGATTCAATAAAATCCCGTCAATGTCAATATCTTCATCGGCGATATTTTCTTTTTCTTTAACATTAAAACTTGTTCAAACCAATTAAACATTTGTTATAGTGACTTTATGGGAAATACTGCCATCTATTGAACTTTTCAGACTTACTTCTCCAATGCCATTAAATATATTGTGCTAAACCCACTGTAGTTACAAGTACATAGAAGTTATTGGCTGACTTACAATTTTGTAATTATTTCAAGTTCTTGAGGAAGTTATGTTATATACCCAAGTTTTTACTGTTTTATTGTGATTACTTGTCATGTGTTATTCTTCATTCCCCAACTAGATTATTTACAAGGACATTTCTCAAAATAACAGCTCCTTCTATTTAGGATACAGAAGATTTGCTTTATAAACTTTCATGTAAGGGTCTAGATTTTACATGCATATACTTTATTCACAATAATCAATGTCAATGGCTTCATATCTACCTAGGAACAAATTATATGACAACCAAAACATAGAATACTATTAAAACCAGAAAAGGAAATGGCAGAATCTTAAGAAAAAAGCAGAATATATAAAGATCTAATATTGAGGAAGTTTACATATTGAGATAGATATTTTTTCAGAAGGAGAACTGGGTATCACTTATGTAATTTGAATGGCGATACAGACCATAGATGTGGTGATTTATTTCCTTTCACTGAGTCTATTTTTTCTAAGTGGCTCTCTTTCTTAACACCTTCCAGCCCAAATGTAGGCATCACCTTGAACTTAGTAATGGTTGCCCTCTTAGCTGAACTTTAATGGCCCAATCACTTTTCTCCCCTTCTGCTTTCCTGATACTGACAGGCAGCTTGTTTCAGCCAGGACCTCTATTTGTCTCGTATCCTAAGCCACTGAGTGTGCAACACCCTAGAGTAGAGACTTTGTAAAGAAAATTATTAGCTCTAATTCACTACCTCTCAAACACTCAGAGCCTATTTACTTTAAGATAAAGTGATGTATAATTATGTTACAAGATATCACTACCTTATTCACTCTCTTGAGCATGATAGGTTAACAGAAAAAAGACGCTTTGAGGGAGTATTTTTGCCAAGTTTTGTGTGAGGGATGTTTACACTAGAGTCAGTTGTAGTAATGGTGTGAGAAAGATGGCTTTCTCAGGTGAAGAGAGAAAGAAGGTGGAAGTGCTACTGTGGAAACTTTTAAGAGAAACAATTTGACTACTCAATCCACTTGATGACTGAATATGATCTTTATATAATTTGAACTGTGTAAAGATTTGTGCATGCACGTCATAGTGCATCATGAATGCAAGTCTTCAAAAGATATCATTTTTTTCTCTAAGTGGTTTACAAATTTTTCCCAGTATGTATATTAATGAGTTGCAATGATTATGGGTAAATTAAAGAATACTGCAAGCTAAAGTAAAGTATCGTCATGGTGACATCAAATTTTTGTAAAAGGAGCATTGTGTTTTGTGCAATTGGAGTACAAAATAAAATATTTTTAAACAAGCTGGAGTGTAAGGTTCTGAATGTGTCCTGTCTCCTTTTCAAAACTGTAAGCTCATCTGGAAGTGCTGCAGTGTTTACATCTATCAATCATTCCGATCAGAATGCTACTGACTGAAGAAATGTAGAGACCATTAGATACAATAAGTTCACTCAGAGTATACATTTATTCTGTTTCTTTGCCGGGTAAAGCAATTGTTTTCACCCTAAACTATTCAATAGTAACACTGTTATCAATCAAAATAATAAAATCAGAAACAAACCTTTCTATATTCCATATTTATATTCATGTACATGAATCATATTCTCAATACTTATCACAATTACATTTTTCTGTTAATATCTAAAATCAATCTTAATGCACTTGTAAATTTAAAAATTATTTTAAGGAGAAAAGGAGGGGAAGGAGTGGAAGATGCCATCTGTGCTATGAATAAACATTTACTGAGCCTCTGCTGTGTACAACTTGAGTATTCAGTCTATCAAAAGATATGATATACATCTTAAAAATAGCGGTGGTAAAATCTATTTGAAAATAATGTAGACAAGTTGTTATTGTAAACTACATTAAGGTTTAGATTCAGTTGAGTCTGGTATTATCATTCATTACCTGTTTTTTAATCTTCAACTTCAGTTTCCACATTTTAGGAAATAATAGCATTTGTTTAGTAGTGATGTATGTGTGTATGCATATTGTATGAACTAAGTGATAAAATACATACTTTATTTTGTAAAATGATTTAAAATTTAATTATATTCTGTGGTTCAATATAATACAGACTTATGTATGATCTATAATTTATTAATATTTTCAAACATACATTTTTCATAGAGTAAAGGCCACATACATGAACTAGGCCATGTAATCTTATCTCTATGGTCAATATTTTAAAATGGTTTTTATTTAACTTTCAACTTAACTTGTGTGCCTTTTAATAATGGTCTTTTAACAATAGTAGTTTGATAAAGTATTTAAATTCAACTAATTCACTCATTCATTTAATAATCATTTATGAAGTGCTGGGTACTGGGCTGAAGACTTAAGGTTACAAAAAAAAAAAAAAAATCAAACATCATTGTTACTTAGAGGACCTCACCGTAGTAGAGGAAATATGCGCCTGTGGAAATCACTATAACACGGACATGCATGCAAAGTGCTGTGTGAGAGGAGCAAAACAGATTGGGTCTCTGTTAATTCTACAACAGAGATTCATGAGAGACTTACAACAGGGAATTTAAATAAAGGAGTATGAATATGGGGAAATTCTAGTTTAAGTAAGATGCGTGCAAGGTATTATTATATTTTAGGAGGAGGTAGTATTTCATTGTGGCTAGGCCTGGGGTATACTGAGAATGACATTAAGAGATAAAGCTGTGAAAGGCATTTCATCCTGACCTGTGAAGAGCCTTTATTGACATACCACAGCATCTGCTATGTGATAGTTTGTGAACATCATTTCTGAGACGAACATAAGGGACAACTCCTCTGCAGGATTTTTATGATTATTAAAGGTTATTTTATAAAATGTCATCCACAGTATCTTCCATATTAAAAACACTCAAATCTATTGTAATTACATCCTTTACATCTTGATAATGTCGTAAATACCATACCCTTCCAAACTCACAGGATTAATACCTCTCCTTTCTCCCAATTGCCTGCTGGCACACACGTGTGTGTGTGTGTGTGTGTGTGTGTGTGTGCATGCACGCGCGTGCATGCATGTAGAACACTGTTTCATAATGTGTATTTAAAAAAAATTAATCACAGAAAGTACATATATAATAACATTGAATAAGTAGATTGTTGATATCAAAATACATTTTAACATCTCTATGAACACTTTAAGAATAAATATGCAAGACACCATTACTTAGTACCACTATATTAATATTTAACTGATTTTAACTGAAACTCATACTTTTAACATGGACCAATTACCTCCCAGGTTCAATAGACAATAGGTGGAGTGATTTATTTAGTCTTGCATAAATAAGGGTGACCATATAGAACAAAAAAAAAATATTTCCACTTAAGAAAATAATAACATAACAATATTTATTCAGGTATTCCATTTTGCTTAACATAAACAGATAATGGTAAATTCAAATCATGGAAAACAGGTACGTACTCTGAGGAAACCGTGGCGGATTGTCGTTTACATCAGTCAAGGTGATATTGACTGTTGTAGATCCCGAAAGCCCTCCAACTTGCCCAGCCATGTCTTTGGCTTGAATGACCACTGAGTAGTGTTCTCTGGCTTCTCTGTCCATGTTATGTAAGGCAGTTCTAATAACTCCTGTAATATACATGTTGAAAAAAACAATATGAGTTATACATTAAATAAGAATCAAGTTATGTATCTTTTTTTTGCTTTGTTTTCAGAAAGGTCTTTTTAAGTAGCATATGCTTGAGAGAAATCCACACTTCTGAGAAAAACGGTACCTTAACAATGCACAAAAACTGTGTCATTGAAACATTCATTTACAACCTCATGTCCCAAAGCATTCTATTAGTGGCAAATACCTATCTATCTTCGTTCCTTGGGGTAGATGGTCCCTCAAGAGAAGCCCTGTGGCCCAAGCTTGCTACTCTTGCTGGTGTGCTGAACATTTTACAGCTTGGACTCCTCAGAAATGTCAATTAAGATGGTCATATTGATTTGAGCAGAGATTAATTTTCCTCTTTACAGAGCAATTTCCATACCTTCCTTGCAGGATTGTCAATATTTGATGATGGAAAACATTCGAGGAGTTTGGACACTTTGAACAGAGATTATAGGCAGGAGGCATTTTAACAGGTATCAAAGACTAAGAAACTCACTGTTTTCATCAGAAAACAACTTTAACAAGAACTAGATCTAAGTACATAAGCAAAATTTTGAAAGTAATAATACTATAAATACATTGTAAAAGTCACATTCTTTATCTTAATAGCACAAAGGGGGACTTTTAACACACTTTTGCATGATGCATACTTGGATTGAATAAAAGAATGAGATGTTATATATTCATTTGTGATTATACATACATAACAACTACCCCCACCCACACACATAAATTAAATATCTCTATCAATAGAGTCTTTACAACTGAAAACACATTTTCCAGAGGACCATGCTTACCCAGGGCCTATTAACTATGTCATAAAATAAAAATATTTTCCTGGCCAGGCGCGGTGGCTCACGCCTGTAATCCTAGCACTCTGGGAGGCCGAGGCGGGCGGATCGTTTGAGCTCAGGAGTTCGAGACCAGCCTGAGCAAGAGCAAGACCCCGTCTCTACTAAAAATTAGAAAGAAATTAATCGGACAACTAAAAATATATAGAAAAAAAAATTAGCCGGGCATGGTGCCACATGCCTGCAGTCCCAGCTACTTGGGAAGCTGAGGCAGAAGGATTGCTTGAGCCCAGGAGTTTGAGGTTGCTGTGAGCTAGGCTGACGCCACAGCACTCACTCTAGCCAGGGCAACAGAGTGAAACTTTGTCTCAAAAAAAAAAAAAAAAAAATTTTCCTGTGTAGATGAAGTATATATAAGTATGTACATAAATATATATGTATATATATATGTATTTTTACTTTCATGTATATACATATAAACATATGATCTAAATATATTTGTCACTCTAAATATGGGCCATCATTTAATAAACTCCCTTTTATTTTTATTAAAAAGAGTTGAATTATGCCATCTTTGAAAAATACACCAGTAACTTTAATCAAACTCACACTTGATTAGTTAGCAGAACAATTCATAAGAAGTTACCAATTATAACTGCTAACTATAGAGTTTACAAAATACATTGCCAAAGGATATCATGATATATGACGAAAAATAAAGTTGAATATTCAAATTAAAAATAGCCTTTTAAAAGTAGAAAGGATTATTAAATCAATTGTTTTGAATATAGAACATTGAATGACTATTTTGGATTTTTTTAACTGACTTGATTGGCTGTGTAATAATGACTTTGAGAGGAGAGCCTCAGGCTTCAAGAAAAGGATCTCACAACTTTCAAATATTGTGAACATATAATTGAGGGAATTTAGAAAAAACTTTCCTGGAGCGAAATAGATATGAAAATTACTCTTATCAAAAGAAATTATAATAATATAATAATAAATGATTCATCTAATTCATGTATATGAAAAAGCCTCAAGCACCTTTGTTAAAAAAACAATGTTTTATCATATATAACTACTTAAGTATGAATTTGATGCAGAAATGAATAAGCAAAGGATTTATGAAAACATTTTATGAAAGGAATGTATATTTTCTAGCTTTTGAAAAAAAAAGAATCTTTTCTAAGAAGAATGAATTATAAATGGGACTTGCCTTTAGTAGGGAGAAGTATGAGATTCTTATCAAAGATAAATGTTTTGCAATAAGATCACTAAAATGATATTTTGCAAAATATACATATCTAAAAGTAAAACTAATCATTACAAAGTGAATGATAGATATCTCTTTTACACAATTTGAATTTAGTCCTTTAAGAGGATCAGAGAAATCAGCAAAGTGTTCTGTTTATAGTATGAATGTCAATAATTTCATTATGGTGCCATTATTTGCCTTCTTTTATAATGTAGCAACTTATAGAACAAAGTGGGAAAACCCTGTCAACTAAATTTGCTCATAGAAAGTAAAAAGCAAATCCAGAAATGACATATACTTCTCAGAAGTGATTGTCTCAGAATTCATTTAAACTCACAACTGTCTTGAACGTGGCCCAATTGCATTTGTTTAGCTATGACCTCTCCTGAGGACACTTAGGTAATCGAGGAGAATTACAGTCAAACTGCCATAGTAACGTTATTTCAGTACAAGATAATCACCTTCTATCATGCAACCCAATGCATGTTACTGGAGTGGCCTAAACTGCAGCTGATGCACAGTAATTTTCTTTTTCCTTTTAAATAGACATATTTTAGGTTTGCTAGTTTTAGGTCCATCCACAGCAAAACTGAGCAGAAAGTACAGACAATTTCCAAATATACTTTGCTTCCTCCCTACACACAGTTATCCTCACTACTAACATTCTACACCCAGAATGGCATATTTTTATGATTGATGAACCTACCTTGATACATCATTATTGCCCAAAATCCAGAGTTTAAATTATAGTTCACTCTAGGTGTTATACATTCTATGGGCTTTGACAAATACATACATAATGACAGGTATCCACATTATAGTATTACACAGAATAGTTTCATTTCCCTAAAAATCCTTTCTCCTCTATTTATTCCTTCCTTCCCTCAACACTGATCATTCTCACGATCACTGATGTTATAGAGTCTCTACAATTTTGTTTTTTCCAGAATGAAATACAAATGGAATCATACCATAGACAGCCTTTCAGATTTTCTTATTTTACTCAGTAATATTCATTTAGGTTTTCTCTATGTATTTTCATAGCTTGGTAGCTCATTTCTTTCTAGTGTCGATTAATAATTCCATTAGCTTGAATGTTCCACAGTCTATTTAGCCAATCACTTACTGAAGGAAATGTTGGCTGCTTCCAAGCATTGGTGATTATAAATAAAACTGCTATAGAGAGAGATCTATGTATGAGTTTTTGTATGGACATAACATTTTCAACTCATTTGAGTAAATACCAAGGAGCATGATTGGTGGGACATATGGTCAGAGTATGTTTAGTTTTGTAAGAAATTACCAAATTGTCTTCCAAAGTGGTTGTGCCATTTTCCATTTCCGCCAGCAATGAATGAGAGTTCATGTTTTTCCACATGGTTGCCAGCCTTTGGTATTTATTGTCAGTGTTCTCGATTTTGGCCAATGTAATAGGTGGGCAGTGGTATTTAATTGCTATTTTAATTTGTATTTCCTTGACGACATATGAAGTTGGATACCTTTTTATATGTTTATTTGTCACCTGTAGATCTTCTTTGAAGAGATGTCTGTTCAGATTTGTTGCCCATTTTTAAAAATTGGGTTGTCCATTTTCATATTGTTGTTAATGTTTAAGAGTTCTTTGTATATTTCAGGTAACAGTATGCATTACTCAGGATTTTTCAGAGAAACAGAAACAATAGGAAATTTTATATATATGTGTGTCTATACACATATACACAGGTGTGTGTATATATACACACACAAACACGTGTATATATGGAGAAAAATTTCTTAGGAGAAATTGTTTCATATCATTATGGAGGACAACAAGTCCCACAATTTCTGGAGACCAAGAAAAGATGATAGTGTAATTCAGTCCAATTCTGAAGGCCTGAGAAACCAGAAATTTAGTGGTGGAAATCCCAGTCCAAGGGCAAAAGAAGACCAATGTCCCAGCTCAAGTGGGCAAATTATTCCTTCCTCCATCTTTTCCTCTGTTCAGGCCTCAATATATTGGAACATACCCACTCACATTGGAAAAGACAATCTGCGTTATTGATTCCAACTATTCAAATGCTAATTTCATCTGGAAAAACCCTCAGAGACACATCCACAAATAATGTTTAGTCAAATATCTGAGCATCCATGATCCAGTCAAGTTAACACACAAAATTAATCATCACATAGTCCTCTTTCAAATATGCCTTTTAAAAATATTTTCTCCCAGGCTGTAACTTGTCTTCCCATCCTCTTGACAATGTTTTTCACAGAGCAGAAGTTTTAATTTTAATGAAGTCCAATTAATCAATTATTTCTTTTATGGATTATGCCTGTGGTATTGTATCTAAAAAGTCATACACAAAGTCACCAAGATTTTTTCCTATGTAATCTTCTAGGAGTTTCAGAGTTTTATGTTTTACATTTAAGTCTGTGATCCATTTTCAGTTAAGTTTTAGGTGGGGTGTAAGGTCTAGATCTAGGTTTTGTTTTTTTTTTTTCATGTTGTGGACAGTTGTTCCAGAAACATTTGTTAAAAAGACTATCATTTCTTCATTTTTTAAGTTTTGCTACTTTGTGGAGATCAGTTGGTTGTATTTTATAAATCTATTTCTAGGTTCTCTAGACTGTTATACTGATTTATTTATCTATTCTTTCACATATATCACACTTGCCTGATTACTGTAGCCTTGGAATAAGGCTTGACACTGAGTAGTGTCAATCCTCTGACTTTCTTCTTCTCCTTCAATAGTATGTTGGTTATTCTGAGTTTTGTGTCCCTCCATATAAACTTTAGAATAAGTTTGTCAATATCCACAAAATAACTTGCTGCTGTTTTGATTGATATTACCTTGAACCTATAGATCAAGTTGGTAAAAACTGACATTTTGATAATATTGAGTTTTCCTATCCATGAACATGGAATATAGCTCCATTCGTTTAGTAC